AACGGCGTGTTGCATTGAGTCAGTCCTAAAGGAAGAGTTTGGCGTGTCTAAAAAGCGAGGAATTCTGATAATTACATGGTGATCTCTTGCGTGAACATAGCCCTGGAGAATTCGAGCGGTTTTCCGGAGAGGAATTGGATTTTTTTAAAAGATGGCAAAGCAAATGGAAGTCATTGGGAATATGAGGAGATTTGTCAAGACCTCTGCCAGAATTGTGAATGAATACAGGCTGGAGACAGAACTTGGAATTCGACATTCTCGGCAACAACGTACTAGCCATGAGAAGCGGCATTGATATTCACTCTGCATGTGTCACACAGTCATTAGCAACCTTAAGGAAGTCACTGGAGAGAGGAGACTTGCTAGTAACCATTGTGATTAATTTTGTTTCGTTATCATTCTAAAAAGCTCAGCTGCAATTGAGCTATACTGAAGGCAAACATTATGCACCTAAGTTGAAATAGGATGCAACACCTAAGATGCAAGACCTAAGATGCCAGGAGTCAGTCGTCAGGGATAGAAGAAGAAACCTAGGTAGTATATATATAAACCCTAAAGAATCAGTTTCACTGAGAGACTGCAATTTATTCTTATAGGATTCTATCCCTATATATTCTATTGAATAAGCACTATCATGGTTAGCAGCAAAAACTCTTATAATAAGCATTAAGTAAGCGATAAAATTGTACTCCGTAAGGAGTAGGAGGGGGTGGTTAAGCCGTCGTCATGGAGTTAGGTAGGCGATATACGGCCAAAAACAAACCTTGTGACAAGATAGGTAGGCAGATAGGGTAGGTAGACTTGATGAATGAATGGAACAGGAAAGAAAGAAGAAGTATGGCTGATTTCATAGAGAATGCTATTGATTGCTATCTATCTTTTCAGGAATTTCAGTCCTCAAGGAGAGTCGAGTTCTTTATAGCTGCTATTTATTTAAGATATTCCAACTTTGACATAATCCACCTCTGACATTCTCTGCCAACATGCAGAATCTATCATCAAGGCATCTCCTATTAGCTAGCTAAATTCAGGATGCTCACACCAGTTCCCTTATTTTATCTGTCTATACCATGCAGCAGGGACTAGGTTGGATTGGATTGGGCTCTCTTGGTGATTACTTCTGCACTCGCTGTATATAACCAATCCTCGATGATGATGATGATGATGATGATGATGATGATGATGATGATGATGATGATGATGATGATGATGATGATGATGAACATTACTAATGGCTCCTTACTAGATGACTACAATACAATAATATAAATAAATATAAAAAAATAAAAAATAACTATTGTAGATTCATAGTTATGTCTAGCTATTAGAAAGTAGGTAATATTCATTACCATTAAGATTAAGGATTGGTTATGTATACATCGCGAGTACAGGAATAATTCAAATTCATCGTATCAACAGCGGTTACTAACTAGTCTATATATCCATCCATAAAGTATATACTGTACTGTACGGACCTGTTATCAGGTACAATTATTAATATAACATACATACCACTGTACTCCATACTGTTCTATGCAGGATATAGAATTTAATATTCTGCTAGCTAGCTACTTTGGGTCCGTGGTTCGACAGGTTAGTTAGGTAGATGCGTACTGGATAAATACTCTCTGTACTACTTTGGACTACTATTACTCTGAGGTACAGTACCTTGTATACCTATATGTACAGTACAGTACATACCTAGGTACACGATCAGCTTGCAACCTACCTAGGTACATACCTAGCTAGGGTACCCTGTACAGATGTCAGACGGACTATTGACATTTCCCATGATTGGCTTAACCACACTCATCCCAGCAGTTAGTAGACACTGTGCATCTGCATGCAGGTGGTGGCTTGCAGGCTCACTCACCAATCACCACTCACCAGGGTTCAGAGTTCAGACAGGGGGTTTTTCTTGGCGAGGACTTAATACCAATGATATTCTCGAGTAAAAAATGAAAATATCTGATCTAATGTCAAGGACAGAGTTGTTAGTTTATAGCTTATATTTACCGTTAACTAATATCACCTGCAGAGTACTGAGTAGATATTCGAGTAAACAATACTGTCGTTCATTCATTCATTATTCGTATTCGTCATTAAGGAGCGTGTAGTCTATTTACATCAAATCAAGTCCGACTGGTCGTAGAGGAGACTGCCGCCAAAAAAAAAAGGGAAAAAAAAGTCGTAATCGTATCGTAATCAAATTGCCTGCCCATAAATCCAGAAATCATCATTCAGCCACCCCCGTCTATAGCGTCACCTTTTCTTGTTCGTCTAGGTCGTTCCCTTTGTATAGGTTTCTTCCATACTCGGCCAACAGCCCGGCCACCGTCGTCCCGCCCACAATCAAGCTCCCCCACGCAAACCACCACGCTGAAATGTGCGGCTTGGCCCGGTTGACCGTCTTGGCCATGATCGCCAGCCAGAGCGCGTTCCCCCCGCAGGCGACCGTGTAGTAGACCGGCGACAGGCCCGCCAGCCAGCCGGCGGCGACGAGCAAGCCCACCTGCGCGGTGCCCAGCACCGAGATGAACGCAAACGTGTCGCGGTACCGCACCGCCATGGACCGCACGCCGGCCTTGATGTCGTCGACCGTGTCCTGGCAGGCGTTGACGTAGTCGAAGATGACGATCCACACTGCCTGCGACGCTGCCAAGCTCGTCGTCGCCAGCGCCAGCGCCGTGTCCTGCATCGTGAACGGCTCCACGCCCAGCGCCGAGCACGACATGAACACCGCCCACGACAGCGGGATGCTCAGCACCACCTGCGGGAAGTCGGTCCACCGCTTCGCCAGCGGGTACAGGCTGACCAGCGCGTGGATCGGGATCGCGTGCCAGAAGCACTGTGTCGCGTGCGGGAACTGCGACACCAGCCCGGCCCCGATGGCCGTCAGCGCCCAGTAGAAGACATGGCCTTGCAAAGGCGTCACGGCACCCCGCGCGATCGGCCGCAGCTGGCACCGGGCCACCTGGCGGTCGAACTCGCGGTCGAAGTTGTCGTTGATCACGCAGGCGGCGCCCCGGAGGAAGACGTTCCAGACCAGAAACGCCGCGCTGGTGCTGGCCAGGAACGCCGGTGAGATGACCGGCTGCGCGATGCAGGCCGCGTAGCTCAGGCCGATGAGGTAGGGGAAGTAGAAGCCGTACAGCCCGCCGGGCTTCTCGATTCGCATCAACTCCGCGTAGGGCACCCACGACGGCGGCAGCACGGAGAGAATGCCCTTGGTCTGGGGTTGCCAGACGGGATAATCGGATGCAGACGTTGTTGTCGACTGCCAGCGCTGGATCTGCAGACCAGGTTGTGACAGCGTCTGGGGAGTGGGAATCAGAGCGGTCGTGGGAGCAGGCCTGGTCACCAGCGACTGTGACGGCGCTTTCGCAAGAGCCAGCTGAGCAGCCGGCCGCTGCGAGGAGAGAGCATGGTACAGGACTCGTGTCTGCGTCAACGAGCCTGCCTTGCGCAGGCCCTGCGGTGCAATTGCGAAGCGTGTTCTGCCCAGCATGGCGTCGACTCTGACAGACAGAAGAGAGACATCTGGCCAGGAATAAAGCTGCAGGGTTGTGGGAGGTTATAAACGAGCGATTAAGCGATCAAGCGATCACCACGGCCCGATCCTCTCATTGTGGATTGTGAGCTTGTCGACCGGCAGTCTCCGCATGAACTGTCGCAATCGCTCGTCCAGAGACTCCAGACTAGCTGATAGCAGCTGTCCCAAGGCCCTCCAGCCTGCGCAGACCCATTCCATGGCTGCAGAACGAGCAGCAGCGTTGCATATGATTGGCAACGACCAGCCGAGTGTCTGAACGGCTGAGCATAGTGGACTGTGGGCCAGATTGGGGCCGGAATGCCGAGGGGCAAACGAAGTCTTAGACAAGACGTCTATACCAGAAACTTAGCTAGAGCTGCAACGTGGGTTTTTAGCGCGGTCGTCGATCCGGGCCAAGGGATGCCTGCGGCCCCATTGGTAGGAACGAGTATAAATAAGAAATAATGCCTCAGCTACTGAGAACTGTAGGCCATTCGATGTGAGATTCTTTCAGATGCTGTTGATAAGCTGTGGCAAGCATGAGCTCATAAGTATAGTATGAAGTTGCTCTGGACAGCAGTGAGATATCTCTCTTAGACACCAACTAGATATTCCCACTGCCGCACAGACGCATCAGAAAACAGCATGTCTGTGCATGAGTCAATCCATTCCAATAATAGATAGGATTTATTTTAACATTGTGGCTGGTCGAGAAACAAACAGACAGACAAAGAAATACGATTTCTTTGAATAGTACAGTACTCCGTACATACGACCGAGTTATGCTTTTGAGAACATAAATAATGAAAGCGCATCTTCTCTCCGTGGTTCGATTTTCATTGACATTGACAAGACAGGGGCATGCCACTCCCTCTATCCGGATTAATACTGCATAAGTACATCTATGTACATACATCAGAGTCGACTGGAATATTATGTAGTCGTGAGATTCCAGATCTCACTCACTTATCATCGTCTTCCCAGTCCAGTCCAGTCTCTTGCTGACTGAGAAGGATTTCACTTCATTTCATCGAATCCGTCTCGTCTCGTCCCGTTATCAGTCCGTCCGTATATTCATTCCATCCATCTCTGCAGGAGAGGCCTAATCAAGAATTACGAGACTGGTCCGCGCTCTCTCCATGTTGATGGATACGTACTGTATGCAACTCGCATGAACAACCAGCCTGCCAGACTTTTCCATATCCAGCAGAATCTCATTCTGGTCAATTCATTCATTCATTCATTCATTCATTCATCGCTTCCCTTTCCCACTCTTCTTCTTCGCCTTCCCCCCTTTGCCAGCGCCCGCATCAGCCTTGCCAGCTGCCGTGACGACATCTGCATTCTCTTCCGTCGGCGCAGGCGCAGGCGCATCTGTCATCTCCACATCGCCTCCTGCTGCAACAGCAGTGGCAGCAGCAGCAGCAGTAGTAGTAGCTGTAGTCGTCGTCGTCAAATCCGAAACCTTAGCTCCACTGGCCAACTTCCCCAATCCAGTCATCAAGCGACCGACTTCAGCGGCCTTGTTGGTCCGGTACTTGAGACAGATCCCCGTTGCAGGGTTGTAAGTCTTGAACGTGAGGGTCGCTATCGGTGGTGCTGCTGCTGCTGCTGGTGCTGCAGACGTCTGCCCTCCTTGCTGAGCTTGCTGGGAGGAATCCTCTGCCGATGCACCTTTTGCTGTTTTTGATTTTTTCGTCGTCGACGAGCTCGGGAGGTGGGAAGGGAAGCTGTATTTGGTAGTGATTCGGGTCTTGACAACAGTCAGAGTCAGTTAAAAGTTTAGAAAATTGTTTCGCAGGAGAATAGAATAATCACACGTACATCGTCAGGATACGCCTCCAGCAGCATGGAGGATTGCTCCAGAAAGGCCTGCGACGTTGGGAGATAGGGCATTGTGGCCTTTTCTTCTGGTCGAGAGAGTCTTATCAGGATGAGTCGGTTGAATGGATCATGCAATATTAATATTCGCGAGTCAAAAGTATTAAATTAATGCTCCGAATTGTTGTTTCTTGTTCTCGTCGGTGGAATGTGCGGGGGATCTCGTGTCGGCGGTTGGAGTTGGCAAATCCAGGGCGGTGTGGCTTGGCATTGCTCTCAGGCATTCAGTACGCTTCATAGTTGATACTCGCAACATTCGTATACTATCTCCAATCAACTAACTCATGCAATGTACTCTGGGTATATTCAACGTCGTCAACTAGACGACTGCAGCTCTATACTATACTACATACATGGAGTCCCCAATCATCGCATCACATCACATTCATATCCGCGTCAACACATCTCGTATGTGCAATGCAATATATGCAAAATACTCATAAATAAACTGTACAGATCGACTGCCTACATCGTCTGCGGCGTGTTGCATTTCACACACACCAGTCTCTGCCTGCCGCGCGTCTTCGTCGCCCGGAAATTCGTGCCTCGACAGCGCGCGCATCGCAGAACCTCCCCCTCGTCCGGATCGCCGCTCAGCGAACTCAGGTCGCTGCTCAGCGCGCTCGGCACGCTCGACCTCCGACGTTCCCCTTGCACGTCGTTGGGATTCAAGAATCGCTGCGAATTGGCCGACTGAATCGTCTGCGCCGCTTTGGCCCAAAATGCGTTGCTCTGCCCAGTCTCTGTGAACGAAGCCGCAAGACCCTCGTTCCCGTCCGGTGGTATCTCGGGCGATGACGGCGATTCCGGCTCTCCGACGAGCACGCTCGGTTTGGACTCGTCTCTGTCGGAGCCACGGCTGCCGATGGACGAACGCGATCGAGGGGTCTCATAACCCGATTCGCTCTTGGTGACAGCACTCCGCACCGGGCTAGAATAGCGCGATCGCCGACTGAGAGACTTTCGAGGAGACGAGCTTCCTGGCCGGATATCGCGCGAGCTGACACTGGCAAGCTCGGTGCCAATGACCGAATTCCGCCAGGCCAGAATCCGCTCGGATGGCGTCTTGGATTCGCGCCCGATCGACGACGCAATGCTATGGCGAGCCGAGTTCGAACGGCCCAGGAGTTTCCGAGAAAAAGTGGAACTGGCATCCCAGTCGTTAGGTCGCTTCTGGTAGGCGCAATCCTGGCGGAAAACTTTGATCTTCCCCAAGTAGTCAGCGACGATGATGATGTTTCCACCTGGATGGGTCGATCGCGCAAGGTACGCCGGCGATGCCTGCGCTTTCAATGCGTCATTTGCCCGGGCGGCAAGAGGGTCCTCGGTGGAGTTTTGTCCGTTCGGCTTGGACGACTCGGTCTGGCTGACCAGAGTGACCGGAGGCGGGTTGCACAAATCGTAGACCGGGTCTCCTGAGAAACCCAGGAGCTGCTTCGTCGCCGTCGGGGCCATCACGGCACACGTCACGATGGCAGTGCGCGTTTCCAGCACCTCGACCGCGCGCTTATCAGGCTCCTTCTCGCCTGATCCCGTCGGCCAGATGTACGTTCGACGGTCCTCACTACCGCAGATGATATGTTTTCCGTCGTCACTGAACGACGCACGGATCTGGCTGGTGGTGTTCTCATTGCCCCGGTATTTGGCCTCGAGACTGCGATCCCGAAAATTGTACAGTCGGATGCGGGAATCGTTGCTGGTGATCAAGAGCTTCACCTCGCCCTTTGGATCGTTGGGGGGCTGCATGATCGTGTCGATGCCGGTGATCTTGCTGCCCTTGGCATTCCGTCCCCGAGCGGAACGCACATGGACCTGCGCCGTGGCCTTCAGACCATCCGTCTCGTACAGAACACAGAGGCCATTCAGACACCCAGCAATCGAATGTTTGCCGTCGGGCGTAAAGGCGACGGCGGTGATCATGTCGGGGACTGTCGCCCAGAAAGCCACGCTCTTGTCCGGGATGCTCCACAGCCGGAGCTTCGAGTCCAGCGATCCGGCGAGGAAGAAGCGATCATCTCGGGGATGGAACTGAATGGAAGTGACGAAATCGCTGTGTTTGAAACAACAGAGACACTCTAACCTGCTGACATGCCACAGGCGAACGGTTCTATCCATGGACGAAGAGAGAAGGAAGTTATTCTAGCATTCGTTAGTAATGTTCGTCAAGCCAGAGCTTGCACACATACCTTGCTCCAACTCAAGTCTAGCACGCTCCCCATGTGCCCTGTGTACTCCCGAATCGGTTTCGACTTGAACACGGGAGCAGTCAACCGTAATCCTTCATCTTCGCCCTTGGCCTCGTCCTCTTCCTGTTCATGGGCTTCCCGATCCTCCGCATTCGTGATGACTGCCCAGACGCGGACGGTCTTATCCTGACCAGCGGCTGCTAAGTATTTCCCGTCCTTCGAGAACTCCAGCGCCCAGATGGCCTTCTGGTTCGTCGACCAAGAATCCTCTCCCCCGGCGGCTGCATCATCGGTCCCACGGAGTTCCTGAGCCAGGAAGACACGGTCGAACGTGCGCTGTTTCTTGTAGTAGGCCTTTGCCTTGATATACTTCGGCGGCGGAGGGAATCGTGGAATGAACCCTACGGGGTGGGCAAAGATTTCATCCATGCCATTAGTTCCGTCGTCTTGAAGATCGGATGCATTGTCATTCGACTCGGAGAGCTGGTCCTTCCTCTTGGAGCCGATAAAGCGACTGAGAAACGAAACACCTTTCCTGTAGTATTTTCCGGGACACAGTTAGAAGAAGGCGGTGGATTCAATGGCGGTGTGCAGATCGCCAGGACACTATCGAGTTCTAGTAGACAGCGTACTTTTTGTCTTTGGTATTCTTCAGGGCCCCAGATATGTCTCCCCGTAGAACGCCTTGATCTGTCGGGCTCAACTTGGACGCGCCGTCTGTTCCGCCAGCTTCCGGGCCATGCGTAGATTGCAATCGCAGCTTGGACGAGAGCGACTTGTCCGTCTGCGTCCGTTTGAGGATGTGCTGGATTCGTAGCGAACGTCAGCAGTTATTCTCGCAGCCGGTCTGAATTACTACTGGCGACGAATATATATATTTTGTTGCCATTGGTCGCAGTGGAGCCAGGCCAGCAGCATACCTGGGAGAGAGGGTCGATCGGGCTTTGGGACAATTCGTCCGGCGACGAACTGGCCTGCGCTGTCACCAGACCTGCCAGGCTCTTGCGGGCATCTTTCGCGTCTCCGTAGACCGGTGCGACATTCGTGGCTCCTGTAGAGAGAAGACGAGACACGTTCTCAAACGTCAGCCAAGGAAGTTCGGCAACGGCAAGCGACCGGGCGGAAGCGTGCAGCCCCTCCAGCAATCGCTTCCAATAATAGCAAGACAGCAAGCAGGCATCTGCGATTGTTGCATCTCATACCGATCGGAGTACTGTGCGAAGACCTGACGAGGGCGGGCTTGCCGCCATCGGTGCTGTTGCTGTTGCTGTTGCTGCCGGACGAGCCGGGCTCGACGGGCGTTGTCGCGGCTCGAGCGATCGGGCGATCGCGACTGCGACTATGACTGTCGGACGTCTTGACTGCAGTGGAGACCTCCGCCATGCTGGAGGAGTTCTTGGAGGCGGTGAATGGTGCACATAGCAATGTCGCGTAGAATGAATCAATGGATTATTCAATTGTAGAATTTCTCGAATGGAGCTCCGACGGGGGGAGGTCGAAAGCGCGGTTCCAGAAAAAAGCCGCTATCATGGAAGGTCCGGAAGGTTCCAATGCCAGTCTGTGACATCAAGCCCCGGGTCTGCGGCGGTGGGGTCCTTAGGGTTTAATTTGCTGAATGTGAATGATTACTAGAGTGATCAAACAAGCCTCCTGCCACTCTAAGCCGATTTATCCGTCTGTGGGAGTCAAGCCAGGCATCCTTAATATTGCCTCCGGACTTTACGGAGAAGAGAACCAGCCACGTGCCATGGTCAAGTGCACATGCGGGGTGCCAGCCAGAGCAGATCTGAGCGTCATCGGGGACATCTCTACAGTCCAGTGACAGATGGATGTCATGATAGTCCGTCTTCGATGGTACTCCGTATGTGGGAGTAATATCATCTGCAAGGTTGCCTATTCCGGACACGATACGATTACTAAGCACACCTGGTCATTACACTGGACGAAAATAAACGACAAGCTGCTAGACGGAGAAGAGGGAATTGAAGAAGTCAGAAATGCCATACTCAGCGGGATACTAGCTTAAGGATGGACATATACGTACTTCGTCGTTATATGCTCTATATCCTACTCTATGTAATTTGCTGCATACAAGTCCTGTAGCCCGCATACCATTAACTAGGTACCTCTATCCAGCCTGTACGTTGCATCAATCAATAATATATTTTACATGGTATTTGACCTGAGAAAGAAGTCAGAATATCAACATAACTGTTGTCAATATTCAACGGATATCCAGCACCGTAGCTCTCCTGCATTTCTCATGGCTATGATGTGACGGGACGATTCAGGGTCTAGTATGCGCTCGAATAAAGAGAAGACAAAGAAAGATCATGTGCACGATTTAATTAGTTGTCATATAAGTGGCTGAAAAGGAATGCCAGATCTGATACCGTTCTTTCTTTCTTTCTTTCCCTTCTTCCCGCGATAAGCGCTGCGTGGCGGCCATTTCATTCGATCTCGGGGGGCACCGTAGCGTCCACTGGTGGGTCAAGCTGTTAGATTTGTACTTCTCATATTAATATTCTCTAGATACTAGATACGTCTGAGATATCTCCTGTTGCAGTTCGCTAGGAAGGAAAGTAGTCACTGTGACAAGTCAGAAGCTGAATCCCTTATTCTTGGAATAGGTTGATATCAATATCTATCCTGCATAACTCATGAAATGCCATAGTTATACCAGTCTGCATAGAATAAGATAATATAACAGGGATAATCGACCTCCCAATCCAAAGGATTGTTATATACTACTGCACTTCCTAACAAAGTGACCTATTCTGTCGTTTCATAATTACCCCCTTATTAAAACTGTAGGAGATATTAATATTGTTTAACTACTGCAATCCTTTTGGACAGCTGTGCCTGAGTAAATACAACCCCATAAATGAGTACCCAGGCAGGTAGATTATGATGTATCTGCTCCTGCCTAGCATGAACCTGCCATGTCTACCTAGAGTCTAGAGCACATAGCTTTCGTTTTAGCTACTCCGTATTTACCTATCCACATGTGATTACTCTTTCTCGACCCCCATCATGTGACTCTGTCAGAGATTGAAGTACTCCGGAGTCGACCGACAGACGTATTATTTTTTTTTCTGTCCCTCGCGCGCCTGCCGATTGGATCAACTTTCTGCATGGTGCATGTGCAACATTTTACTTTAATACTTGCAGTTGGAATTCGTCGTTTAACAAAGGACCAGCGTCATTCCTTTCATTCCTTTCATTTTTTTTTACCTCTATCGTCTCCAGCCATGTCCTCTGGAGGAGCGAGAAGGAGTTTTCGGAACCAGCACCAACATTCTTGTCAGCTCCTGTCAGTAGGTCTGAGGGCGCTTTCCTCGCGTCTGAATTCATTGACCATTTGCAAAACCTTGAAAAAAATGCCACCTGTCGTCGATGTCGTCCATTTACACATCAGCAACCTACCGAACGATTCCTGCGCTGTAAATATTGAGTGGTGATGGTGAACCATCACTGTTCGTCTGGGCACGTCTCACATTGGCATTATTCACTCGACTTTCACGTACGAGTTCAAGGTCAACGCCCACACATGAAAAGGCGGCGGTTATCGAATGATGTCGACGGCGATGTCGACAGCGACGAACCCCCCAGCGCAAAGAAGAAACGTCGTCTGCGTCTGGTCCTGATCACCTCCCGGCTGAGCCCCCCGTTCTCGATTCCAGCCACCTACATCGTCAGTCGCGGCACGTCCAAGATTGCAGTCTGGGCGAGACAAAGGGCCCTTGGTCTTGGTCGATGTTCCCTCCGGAAAGCGGCCATCCTGAACCGGGTGCAGCGGAGAGCGCTTCAACTCAGAAACAGTTATCAACCGTGGCTGCAGCCATTCTTTCGGCGTTTCCTCCCCCATATTAATACGGTTGTTCTTCCTTCTTCCCTGTCGCAGCCGTCTTCGCCGAACGCTGTTGCGCCGCATCTCATATTTCCAGCTGGTTCTGCAGCCACCGTCGGGAATGAAAATCAAAATCTCCTTGTCTCATCCGGTTCGTCGAGTCAGAATAGTGAACAGCGTGGTTTTGACACCAGTCCATGGCAAACGCCCGCCGCTACTCACGATGCTGGTCCTGGCGGTGACAGCAGCAGCGGACCATTGTCTCCTCCAGGCCCGCCACGAAGACAGTATATTCCTCTCCAGCCGCGATCCCCATTGAGTCTCACAAACTATGACTACAGCGTATTCGACAACGAAGACGGCGGTAGCGACGGTGATGATGATGATCATGGGCACGAGCTGATCTACAGCGATTTCAACAACATCCTCCTCGAGCCGTCGGAGCCGGTTCTCGACGACCATGACTCGCTGGCTGCGTTTGACAGCTTGCTGTTCTGGAAGTGGACCCGCGAGGGAGAGGATCGACGGAGGAATGAGGAGGATCAATAAACAGCCATGATTCTGCGCATTCATTTGAATAGGACTTTTTTCACATTTATCTTATTGATTTTTTTTTACTTCATTCCACTTCACGTCAGTTCTGTGTACTGTACTGTACATACTATACTGAATACACGACGTTAATGGCACTGCATAACTAGGTGTCGAAGTTGCATGTTTTTATACGTACCAAACCTAAAAACACAAATGTCTTTCACTGAAAAGAATAGTTCTCAAACGACCGTTGCTGATGCTGCTACTACTGCTGCAGCAACTTCCTCGCACGATCCTTGGCAATATCACACATGGCCTAGTAAATGTACAAGAAAAAAAAAAGAGCGATTAACCGATTGTATCAGACAGCGAATTCATCGCAAGTCTAATTTTTTTTAAAAAAAATATTTAAGTAGTGTGGCATACCTGGATGTTATCTTCCACCTCCCGATCAAAGTCGCCGCGGTCAATACGACGGCGCATATCCTGCATGATGACGTCTCGGCCTCGACCGTTGACGAAAGTGCTGTATTAATTATCCAAGGAGGGACGGTGTTACTATGGAACTTCCTTTTTTTTCTTTTTTTGGGTGGTGGTTCCCAACATACACATATCTCAGTCCCGGATACTTCTCCTCGTATTCTTGATTTAATGCGCTCAGTTTGGTTGCTTGATCCTCAGCCCCCGCATTGTCGTTGTTAATATTCGCCTGCTCTCTCCTGCTCAGCTCACTCAATTGCGCTTGCGCAGCCGCTGAGGAAGCTCCCAGACGCGGGTGCGACCCCAGAATTCCGTACAGAACTTGCCTGTCTTGCGGCGAGTTGGCCGCGGAGAGGGCGGACAGACGGCCACCGACGGCGTCGACCAGGCTGTCGTACGAAGAGAAGGATTGGTTCGCTAGCACGGGGGTCATGAGCGTGTGCAGTTCGGGAGAGGGCTCGAAGAGGGTATCGAGGACTTGGAGTTGTTGGGCGATTGGGAGGGAGGAGAGGGTCGATATGGGTGGGAGAGTGGGGTTGGATGAAGACATGGTTGCTCTGTAGTATCTCTTTTCAAGAAAACAGTAGTTGCGAGAGTGAAATGTCGTAGAATGAATATTTGGAGTTATTTGGAGTTACTTCTTCAGTGTCTCATAGACGAGATCAATTCCATGGGAAAACAATGAGATTGATGATTGATATCATTATGGGTGTCCCGACGGTAAGTATCATACCCCTCCGCGTCGGGGTTCGCCGATACGGGCTTGCGGCAGAGCGAAGGAAACTCAAACTCAGCATAGTCAGCAGAACAACCAATTTGCTCTGAAGGAAAGCAGAAAAGTATACGTTTAAAGTGTATACTGTACGTGGGATATATAACTGACAAATTGTCTGTTCTCGACACTCGTGCCTGTACGGCTACAGCTTCGTCCAACGTCATAGAGGGGGTCCGAGTACGGGGATGCTTCCACCGGCTGGGGCAATCGTTTCCATCCATTCATTCGCAAATTCTTTTTTTTATTTGAACTCAATAACCCTTTCTTTTTTTCGAAGGATTAGATCTCAGACCCCACCAGCCATGCGAGTAATGGCTGAGACGTGAGACAAACTCAAGCACCCCCAGGCTAATCTAAAGCCAACCTTGGGAGAAGCTCACGGCTAACTCACTGGTGATACTGATGCAAGACATCGATCCGGGCAATCCTTGTCGAATCGAGCAAGGTTGGCAGCCTCCATCTCCGTAGTCTGTCCGCGTAGGCACGTCCCCGAGCCGTCTTGTGTGCCGTTTGCTGGCGCCGGGGACCAATTCGCGGGATCCAACTTTTTTTTGCAGGGCTAACTAAACATTCACGGCAGCGCGATTCCAAATCCCATCCCTTGACGTCGCCAGCATCCAGTATTTTTCGAGCTTGACGTTGCACAAGGCCAGCTCAGAATCTGCACGTCGTGTCGCGTCCGAAGCGCAGCAGTCAGCCGTGGTCCGGAATGCCGGGATCGCCCGTCAATAGGAGTCAGAACGATCGTACGGAGTAATGTGATCGGAGATTGGGCAGCAGATAGGCGGCAGGGATTGGCGTGGTGCGCGGGAAGAGATCTCGATGCACATTCTGGCCTCGTTTGGAGGAATGCTGTCATGCACGCTGCGTGTCCTGGTAATCCGGGATTCGGAAACGCAGCAAAAAAAATCATTATTAATGGTTCAACACTCGAAATGGAAGAACATCACACACCAGGAGGCCCTGCTGCCAGGGTCACATTCTGTAATTCGAACCTCTCTCCCAGATCTGCGAGAGGCATCAACCCTGGCGCTGCCTTTGGCCGCCACTCAGCGACTCCACAGGGGCCTGGAGCTGGCGGACACGAACGAGGATAACCTCAGGCGCCCACGCGAACTGCCTCGCTCGATCGCCGGCATCCCCACTGCCTCTGGCCAGTCACCGCGGCGGGCTTCTCATAGAACGTGGGCACTCGGTTGCCCTGGTGGGTGCTAACCCCTGACGCCTCGACACCGGCACGGAGTAAAAGGAGAGCCGCTGCGGCCACGGCTCTCATCGCCCGCTCCCAGCCTGCAGGGGCATGCACTGCCAGAGCACGCAGACGGCCTGGTCGAGCTGTCCGTGACTCTGCCAGACGCTCTCTGACTGTCTGAACGACTCCTGCAGTCCTGCTCTCCTGCGCTGTGCAGCACACAAACCAGCACCCTCCACGGCACTTTCTACGGCGAGTTTAGCGTCGTGCCCTGTGCTCGCGACCAACTAGCCGACCCCGACAGCCCCCCATCGACGTCTTTCGACTCTTTCTCTAAGAGTCGCAGCGTCTGCTCGTGCAGAGCTCCCTGCGTGTTTCTCCCCTCCAATGCAGCACCCGTCATGTCTCTCAATGGGTTAGATGATCCCTCTGTCATCGACGCCTACCAGACTGCCCTGGCCGAAGCGGGAGGATGGTGAGTGTGCCTGGCATCGAATTGCTGGTTTTGAAAGGGCCCCCCTAGATGCCCTGCCAAGGGAAATCCATGCTGACTGGCCTCTGCCTGCATTCAGGTTCCTCCTCAAATATGTATCTAGGGATGAAGTAGCGCTCCATGGCCGTGGCACCGGCGGCGTGCCTGACGTCCGCTCGTCCGTCAAGGCGTACGAAGAGAAGTCCCCGCTCTACGGTTTTCTGCAGTATCGAAGGAGAAAGGTCGTCTTGAAATATGTGCCCGACGGGATCTCGAGATTGATGCAAGGTGAGAGATTACCTCTGGTGGCATGCAGGACTGGCATGCTGCGAATGGGACTAGACCCGGGGCTGACGATCAAATACTTGTAGCACGCATCACCGTCCAGTTCCAATCGGTCCTCGACAAATTCACCCCCCAGGACACCGTTTTCACCTTTGCTGCGCCGTCGGACTTGACTCGAGAGCGCCTTGTCCTCCGCCTGCCTCCTGCATGCGGCCTCTGGTTCCATGACCTCTTCCACCAGTTCTCTCCGGCATCGCAGGTTAATGGAAATCGCCGAGGATGCGGAGGAAGGCGGCACCACTGACACCCAGGACCCGTCGTCATCGCCTTCCCAAACGGCCGAGAAGCGGAAAAGTCAGCTGTCGGAAGCGACTGCAGTTCCCCCCCGATCGCCGCCCAAGGACGTAGACGACACTGCCGCCGTCGTTGATGCTTTCCCCAGCCCGCCCCGGAACCATGCAGACTCGCACACGGACGCGGCTTCGGTCCATTCGTTGCCACAGAAGCATATCCTGGACCAACTCTCCCATGACACCTATGAGCCCCGCAAGTCGACTCAGTCCATGAGACCGTCCCTGCAGGACTTGGACCAAGCTCTACGTCCAAAGGTAAAACTGGGACCTCGACCTTCCGTCGACATCAATGGACGCCCCCGGACCGCAGGCAGCTTGTCCCGGAGTAAAGAAGAACGCCCCGTGGCTGCTCTGCCTGCTGGGGTTCGTTCGACGTCCTCTCGAAAGCCGCAGGGGGGCACGAGTCGACCCAAGTCCCAGCCTGACGGAGCCGCGCCTACGCTCGCTTCTCTCAGAAATGCCCCTCCGATCCCTAATCTCCTGATCCCGCCCCCTACTATCTCAATTCCCAAGCCGCAATTGTCACCAGGCGCGAAGTCGATGACGGCGGTGCCGTCCTCAGGAATGACACCTGAAAAGCAGCGGTTGATGAAAGCACTGGAGCTGAGAAAGAAACAAATGGAGAAGCGGACACAGGAATTGCAGAGGAAGCAGGACCAACTGCAGCTGGCTGGCGAACAGGCTACGGCGGACATCAGTGAAAATAAAGAGAACATCGACCACACGCAGGAGACGAAGACGCAGAAGAACGACGACGACCACGTCGATATTGAAACAGCACATCCTGAGCAGTCGCTCTCACAGTCGCAGCCAGTTGCTGAGATTGCTTTGGACCCCGACAAGGACCCGAAACCCCCATCCCCCAAGCCCGACTCCGGGGTGGATGTGATGGTTACCGACCCGGATACTACTTCGCATCCGACGGAGACGTCCGCCAGTACAGAATCGAAGAATCCAAAAGATGCCCAGAAGGAGCACAGTGATGGCCCAATTGGTCAGGATGACAAAGATGCCCACGGAGGATCCTCGGAGAATGCTGATCACTCTTCGAAACCGTCAGAATTACCAGAATCAGCGCAGCAGCAGCAGCAGCAGCAGCAGCAGGGGGCAGACATCCCCGAAGTATCTGTTGAATCCATTCCTTTGCCAGACTCGCCCCCTGAGGGCTCTCGAGCAAGCTCTGTAGCGGGAGAGGAGTCGACCACCGGCAACACGACCAAGGATGCGGGAGAGCGGAAGAAGCGCCCAAGCCTTCTAGAACCCATCCATGTCCCGGGCCCCGACTTCTCGGACGAGGATAACCTTCTTTCGGATGATTCCTTCATGGAAGAGCTAAAATCCGCCACGGTGCAGGAGGCCAAGCCAGTATCGGTTGGGAAATCCTCGTTGTCGCCCAACGGAGAGTCACAGACGCCTCTCGAAGCGTGGAAGAATTCTCGTTCTGTCTCGAATCCAGCCGCTGGAGGAAGTGACATCCAGGCATTACCTGCTGGTGGAAGATCGGTTTCTGCGTCCTTTACCCCCCAGCAGGCTAAACCGGTCCCCGTGCTTGTGGCCAAGAAAGTCAACGTCTCTTCTGGCATCTCGAAGCGTATCAAAGCTCTGGAAATGTTTTCAAACAGTCGCGAAACCACCTCGAGTTCTGCCCCGAGTCTTCCTGCAGGCTCTTCGACGCAGTCCTCGTCTCCCTTCGAGAAGTTCCGCAAGCGTGCTTCTATATCGAGCGGAGGTCCTCCCCCCACAATTGCAGGTTCGAAATCCACGACACACGTTACACCCTCGCCTTCGCCAGAACCATCCTCCAAGACTGGGACCGTCAATAGCAACGACTCCCACACACGGAGCAAGAGAAATTCAGTGTCTGTGACTGCCCGCATTGTCCGCGATGGGAATGCTCCGCCTACGGACGCGAATGCCAATCCCTCTGAACAAGCCGCGCTCAACCTGCAGCGTAGCCCGCTGACTGTGGAACGCGAGTCTTCGGACGCACTCTCTCCTCCGACCGCTTCTAATACTGATCAACGCAGCTCGTCAGTATCACCAGGAGGTTCAAGACGCAACTCTATTGCTCTCACCCTTACTCGTTCCGAGAGCAGATCCTCTTCGCGGTCCAAGGCGGATGACCTGGCTTCACCACAGGAGGAAAAGAAGGAGTCGCGCACGTCCCGACTCATGCGTCGCATGTCCTCTCTTACGTCCAGTCCGCGCAGAAGCGTGACCAGTCCACCCCCCAAGTCACATTTGAAGGAGGAGGTTCGGGCGTCCCCCGAGAAGGAGGAGAAACAGCGCCCAGAACCACCAAAGGCTGTCGACATTGGTGAAGTGAACGTGCAATTCCCAGATACCTTGCTGTGGAAGCGAAGATTCCTGCGCATCGACAATCAGGGGTATCTAGTCTTGACACCGAGCAATGTTGACTCCAGCACCCGCAATATCGTCAAACGCTATCATCTTTCAGAGTTCAAGACACCGTGCCTCCCCGACGAAGATCGACAAGAACTCCCGAACAGCATCTTGTTGGACTTCCGGGATGGCAGTACGCTCCAGTGTGCCTGCGAGTCGAGGCAAGGGCAGGCCGCTATACTACAGAGTAAGTACCATCCATCTCCTTTGCAGGTATCTGGATCAAAACTGATGATTAATTCCTAGCTCTCGTTGAAGCACACGCCGCGTACCAAACAATAGAGTAGTAATACGTGTCTAAGCACGAGCGGGTTGTTGTTGTTGCGAATACTCGACGTCATTGATTTGAACTGTCGTTTAAGTTTTTTCGTTTTGGATTTTTCTGTCTGTCTGTCTGCATGCATTTTCAGTGGTTATACCCCGGCACCCAAAAAGGTTTCATTTGTTGTATTCTCATATTGTGTGTCTATTCTAATTTCCCCTTTTTTTACACCTTCCCTTCTCAGCGGCCTTTTCTTCGACCGTTTCATGAGAACCATGATTTTATGAGTCGTTTTACTTTTTGATCCTGGGGGTCAACTGTTCTCTCGCAAGCCTGCCCACAACTTTCTGCTGTCGTTCATTTTATCGACTTTGGCTTCACTCACTACCTTTTTTCTTTTTCTCCTCACCTTTTTTTACATTTACAGTTTAATAATGTACATTTTCCTACTTTTGACAGTCCCTGCAGCTTCTTTTTTTTTTCCTCTATTCCTTTCCAACCAGGCTCTCTGTCTTTTCATCGCCTGGTACTGCTCTCTCCTATTGCGGATTTCGGTTTTTCTAGAGTGGTCAGTGGTCTCTCCATGCCAAAGGGAGCAAGTTTCCCGGTATAGGTCAGGTCTCCCCTTTAGAATCCAGATTGTCAGTCATTCCTTCGGAGCTTCCTTGTTGTATTGTTCTAGAAAAGATGTATTTACATAATTTGCTATTTTTTTGTGCGTTTCGGTTAGGGGTGGCCCAGGCCCAGTTCTAGAAGGGAGCTATCCGGTGTCTATCTAAATAGAAAGCGTTGAATTTTTTTTTTTGTTTTCGGGGAAAGATTTAAAAAAAATTAATTCTACATTCTATCACGGATTATTATTCATTATTATTAATTATTAATTAACTGTACACGAAGCTAGCTGGGTTTCTGTTTTCCGGGCGATTGGCTCCGTTGCTGTTTCTTTTGCCACTGCTCGAGAAATCGTCGTACCTTGGGCCCCCAGAATTCCTCTCCGCGCTCGAGGTCTTCGTATTCCAGGACCTTGTCCGGCGAGAGCTCGAATTCCCCCTGTCGGGATCGGACCAATGCGCTCATCAGGCCGCAGCTTCCCACTGCTTTGCCCAGATCGTGCGCAAGCGAGCGGACGTAGAAGCCAGAGGAGACGGTCAGGGTGAGTTTGACGGCTGGAGGGTTTCCAGCTGGTTGTTTCTTATCTGGCGATTCTTCTGTACCTTCTTCTGTTGTGGTTGTAGGTTCGTGAGTCCCAGCTGGGGTGGGTTCCCCTTCGTCAGTGGCCTTAAGACGTTTAGTTGATGGCGGGGCGTCCTTTCCTTCGCCTTCTTCTTCGGCTGGAGGAGGCGGTGATTTGCGTTTCAACGAGGACTCTTCTGCCAATTGAGCTTCTTCCGCCGATGCGAGCGGTACTGAAGCGTCCTTCTCCAGCATCTTCTCCGCGACTTCCTTCTCGTCCGCGGCCACTTCTTGCTCGGGCCACTTCCACTCGTGTGTCCCGGGTTCATACCATTCTAGAATCCGTAAATCGTGGACCTCCACCGGCCGCGACTTGATCTCGACGGGCGGCTCTTTGCCTTCACGGGCGTATTCATACAGTTTCTTTCCCTGGACCCTCAGCGCAGAGAAGATGGGCGGCCGCTGCATGATCTTGCCGCGAAACTGCTCCAATGCCTTCTCCACAACGTCGCGCGTGACGTGTTCGTACGGCGCACGCCGCACGATCCGGCCCAGCCGGTCGTACGTATCCGTCTCCGCCCCGAACAGGACCACCGTCTCGTACGTCTTGGTGCAGTTGAGGAAGTTTTGCAGGTCCTTGGTGCCTTTCCCCACGCCGGCGATTAGCACCCCCGTCGCCATGGGGTCCAATGTCCCTCCGTGGCCGATTTTCACCTCGATCGGCTTGTGTCGCTTGCGATGGCGCTTCCAGTTGCTGTCCTGCGCTCGTCGGTGGCGCTCATCCTCTATCCACGGTCTGAACAGTTTCGATGGGTTGAAATGCTTCTGAAGGTGTCGGAGGACATCGGCTGAGGTGACGCCTTGGGGTTTATGGACGGCTGTCGCGTGGAGTTTTGGCTGTCATTAGCTTGATCAAAACTGCAGAAGAGCAAAAGGTATGGAGAGATACAGGTAGTTCTTACCAAATACGCCCTCGTATATCCTTTCTCCATCCATAGTTCTGCGAAACAGTTTCAAGCTTCGCTTTAAGAAGCCCATCAAGACTGTGGGCGCGAGGGGAACGCAAGTCGACTGCAGGCAGGTAGAAAAAGGCTGGTGGTGTATAATACCCAATTTGGTATATCTCAGTGCAACGCTAGCTGATTCCAGAAGAACTGAATGTCCTCATTGACAATGAGGCAGCTAGATAGTAAGTACTACGGAGTAAGCAGGTCTAGAAGTCCGCTCTCCGCAGTCTTTTTTTCCTGCTGCGGGCCGTAATTTTTAGTATCGGGGGTTGGTAATCCACTGGAAATAATACCGACGTCAAGATCAGACCGGAAAGCCAACCGACGCGTGCAGCCCATCACATTCCCATCATTCATTTCATTCATTCAGCTTCAGCCCTTTTTCTCCATCTTTTCTTCTCTACCCCTATCTTTCCTCTTGTACAGTCCTTCCGCGCAAGTCCCAACATGCTGCCTCCGAACAAGTCATGACGTCGCGAGAAGAGCAGGTCCTGGCCGCCAGAGATCCATCCGTCGAGGACGAGAACGAATGGGAGGAATTCAGCCTGACGGACGTCAAGATCCTTATCCCCGGCAAATCGCGCTATGCAAACCTCCTCACGGCCTCGCCGGACAACCCTGTCCGGGTCATTGGGAATCTGGATGAGGTGGAGGAGGAGCAGGCTTCATTAGGTATGTCCTCTCCCTTGGTGTGCGTGGATCGTTTCTGGGGCCCCCTGCAGCTGACGATATTCGCGCGCAGTCCTCGACCCTGACTACCTCTCGAAACGGATCGTCATCGAAAACGTCACTCACTACGCCTACGGTCAGCATGCTGACGGAGAGATTGGCATCTGGGTGGCCGGTCAGGCAGGATGGTATTCCATCGTCCCTGCGAAGGGCTATCGGCCAATGTACAATGACATGGTAGAGGCCATTGACCTGTTGTATTTCCTGGTCGACAGACACCAACGACGACGGCGGAAGCGTCGAACCTGGGACCCGAGTTTTGAGTATCTGTGCGAGGAGGTGGGCTGTTCTCTTCCTCTTTCTTGAATCCCATGACTGACGTTTGTTCTATTTTTTTTTCATCAGTATGTCGCGCACACCCACGGAATTTGTGAAGATGCCGACGATTCGGCCGAGGTCTTCTACAAGCATCACAGTTTTCTACTCTCTCAGATGATCCAAGGGAGGGAAGACGTACAGTGGACGGAAACCACCATATTCAAGCATCTCGCGGAGAAATTTCCCGTTCGTTTTACCTTTGACTCCCGTTGTGTGGGGATGTTCGGCTGCTAAAATTCAGTCTAGGAGGAATATGAACGATTAAAGGCATTGCATGAGCCACCAGCGGAGGAGGCTGCTAATAGAAGTGCGACTACGGAGGCTGAATCCGTTGACAGGGACGCGGTTGCGAAGGCGCAGGCGGATACCATATTTAACATCATTACAGAACTGAAGGAAGCAGGAGCACTAGCCAAGCGTCAATTGAACGTCGACCTTGTCGCAAGCACCCTTCATGGCCGATACGAGATGGATACCGAAGACTATGCGCGGGCTCTCATCGCCGTCAGAGCAGAAATGCTCATCGAGATGATGGACCAGCAGAAAACTTCGAGTTTTGACTGGTCCCGGAAGGCGATCTACCGGGAGCTAAAGAGCGCAGCAGAGAACAACGAGACGCGAGACGTGGCCATCACCCCGTTGCGTCCCCGGGCAGCCATGGAAGATGATGACAGCTCTGAGCATGACAGCGATCATGAAGATCATCCCCGGGTGCGGCGGCGACGAGTGCGCAAGTCCGTCCTGCGGCCGAAGCTCAGTTCGGTGTCGGCGAAGCAGGCCGGCAAGCAGGCAGGCAAACAGGCACGTAGCTCGACGACGACGCAGGAACTGGAAATGTCGGAAGACAGCGAAGCAAACGAAGACCTCGATACGCCGAGCAAGTCTCGTGGCCATGAGCTCATCCGCGAGCCGCCCCCATCATCGGCGAGCATCAATGGACGGGCACGGTCGATTCTGTCGGACTCGGACTCCACCGCCATTCGGAAGACGCCATTGCAAGAGACTCTTCAGTCGGGGAACATCTCTAATAATAATAATAATAATTCAGTGGCGCAGCATTCCCAGTCGGCATTGGAGCGGACAACCAACACCGAGAATCTGCCCGGCGACACATGGATATGTTCTGTGCAGGGATGCGGCAAAGTCGTGCACAAAGCGAGCTCGAAACGGTCCAAGGAGCTCATCCACGACCACACCCTGATGCATGCGGACGACACCCAGACGAGACTCGACCTGGTGTTTGCCGAAAAGCGGCTCAACGTGAACGTCGGTGTTGAGCACCTCGTGAACCGGATTCGTGAGATTGGTGCCCTGGAGGGCGTCACTGCGGATGGGGACACTGCTGCCAAACGCATTCGTCGGTGAATCCGTCACCACTGTCAGCATGCTACTCTACTACTGCTGCTGCTACTGCTGCTCCTATTACTACCTTGACGGGTCGCTGGACTACTGTATTCCGCCGGGTCATTGCGCGGAGGACGGATAAGACTATTATCCGCATTTAACATACTCCGTAGGAGACAGGACAGGAGTCCCACCCAGTTCGCTCGACCCATGTATTATTACTACACACAGTTGCATGCCCGGATATAGGCATTGAGGTTGGGTACGTTCCATCAATCAATCAATTTGTCAATTTAACGTATCTGTTGGTTGCTTACTCTAGTTTCCCCTGGACAGAAATTATCTGATTGGATTGGATTATGGATTGTGGATCGGATCGGATTGGATTGGCGATGATTGATTGATGATCATCACGAGATACCCTTTATAGTAACCAATATCATACAATACCAAGTTTATTATTTACCTATTTACCTATCTATCTATCTATTGTTCCTTGTGTTGTGTTGTGTCACCCAGACCAAAACGGGCCTGACCCTGACATTGATAAATAAGAATACGAATAAAGAAGAATTAGGGCATTGCTACCAGCTAGCTTTCTAGCTTTCTAGCTTACTAGCTAGGTAGGTAACTGTTTATCAGGATCTGCTCGCTCGCTTGCTCGATTAGTCCCATCCAAGTCTAACCAAGTCCAAATCCAGTCCAAGTCCAAGGAAAGAAGCAAGACAACTACCTAGTTGTCCTAACTCCTGAGGACCCTTCCTTCCTTCCTTGCAAGAAAGGAATTCATACCGACCATCTGAGTATTTCTGGGAGGAAGTCAGCAAGAAAACAAGCAAGTCAGCAAGACTGTGTTTCTACCGCAGGATCAGGATCATCAACACAACACCACTGGTGTCGACTAACCGACTAACTGACTGACTGACTGACTGAATGAGGGACTGAATGAGGGACTACGAGTGAGGAGCGAATTGATCGATTCGATGCTGTACTATGTATGTACTGTACATACACAGGTTACATACCTATACAGGAAAAAATATGGAATTTTCTTTTTTTAAAAAAAAAGGAGAGAGAGAGGGAGGAATGAAATTGCTATTTCCCTGAGTATTCATTTATTTCAAATGAAAAAAAAAAGTCAACAAAAGAACGAACAAATACAATCTTCCTATAGCACAGTCAGAAAAGTAGTAGTAACCTTAACCTTGACTATATGTATAAGGATATCTATCTATATATCAAAAAAAGGGAGAAAAGGAAAGAGGAAAGAAATAAATAAATAAAGTCAACATTTATTTTTTATATTCACACTGTCGCGAATCCTACTATGTTATACATTACAGAACAACACCCATGCCCTAATTTTTTTTTAATAAAATCTACTTATTCATCGCCTTCCGCCGACTCTTCCCCGGTCTTTTTCGCCTTCTTCTTCGCGCTGCTACTACCGCCCTTCATCTTCTTCACTGAAAACCCGCTCAGATCGCCCGAGGAGATGGCGTCGCCGCTCTTTGCGTACCGCTTCTTCCCGCCAAAGCCGTACTTTTCGTTCTTCTTCCGGCGTTTCGCGGAGGGCCCGCCTGTCTTGTTGTTGGCGGCGTTCTTCTTTTCTGCCTTGTGGGCCTCTTCGATGGCGACGTCGAAGAGGTCTTCGTCTTCTGTTGGGCCGGATTGCTGCTCGGCTTTTCGTTCTGTAGAAATCATACGTTAGTGATTGGGTCGGACAGCGAGATAATATGTAGGCAGGCAGGCAGGCAGGTAGGCAGGTAGAACGTACTTCTCTTCAAACTGTTGATCTTCTCCAACGTCTCCTTCTTCTCCTTCTGCCGCTGCTGCAGCTTCGCAATCTGCACCTGCTTGCCAAACTTCTTGAGCTCGCGCTGCCGACGAGCTTCTGCCGCGGCTTTCTTCGCTGCAGCCTCCTCGTAGAGCTTCTGCTTGATCTTGTTCATGTGCTCGTCGGTCTTGACCATCTCGGCAAAGTAGTCGCCCGGACGGGAGAACGGGATGCCTTCCTTTATGAGCAGCCGGCGCCCGTCCACGGCGGCCGCCTGGCAGACTTTGTAGAACTCGAGTTCGCGCTGCAGATCATCGTTCGGGTCGGGCACGTTGATCGGCTCGGAGGACACGAGGGAATTGTGCTCGGAGAAGGGCGTCTGCGGTGTGATGAAGGAAATGCGCTTGATGGAGGCGTTGATGGCAGCGGAGTTGTTGATGGTGAGGCGTTGGTGCGGTATTACGTCCTGTGTCTCGTCTTCGGAGAGGTCTGACAGGGGAATGTCTTCGTCTTCTTCTTCTTCGCTGTCCTTGTTTTCATTCTCTCCTTCACCTTCCTTACTTTCATTCTCGCCGTCTGACTCTCCATCTTCCTCTGATTCGGACCCCGACTCTGACTCCGACTCTGACTCGTCCGACTGGTCTTTTTCGCTATTGGCCTCGACGCCATTCGTTTCAGCGGCTGTCCCGTCTGTGGACTTCTTCTTTTCATTCAATTCCTGAGAACCAGCAAGGGTAAGTCATGTGGTTGTCTTTTTTTTTCCACAAGGGCCTTGAATGTCTGTCGCACTCACCTCTTGCTCTTCATGCTCCTCATTCTCCTTCTCATCTTGCGACTTGGCCTTCTTCGCCGCTTTCCTCTTCTCTGCGGCCTTGGCCAATTTCTTCTGGCGTTCTTTTTCGTAGTCGCGGCCCTTGTGGGCGTCGAGAGCTAAGAGCAATTTGCTCTTTTTGACCATGTCTTCGCGAACGGATTTGCGATCTCAAAACTGATTTCTTTTTAAAACAGAAAAAAAAATACAAGGCAGAAATTCTTAAAAAAAAATCCAGAATATGGGCACAATGCTAGAATAATTCGATAGTAACAGCGCTGTTGAATAAATCAATTCCACCGTCAAAGCCAAGCCAAGCCATGGAATTTTTTGGCCGAGCACCTGCCTACTGCGCCCGCGAACGGGACTATGCTCGATGGGGCTTGGCGTGTGGACGGGCGATAAGAATGGCCGCTAGTCTGGAAAGGAAAGGGCCGTGCTTATCGGGCGGGATTCCGGGGAAAATATTAATCCTAAGTCGGGTCAGGTCTCCTAGGTAGTCCTAGTGGTGGAACCGCTGACATCGAAGTCGATCAAGAAGACAAGAAGACGAAGCAAAAGCAGCAGGGATTGATTCGTTTCTCAGAGTCAAAACTAACGAGGATTTTAATTTCATTTTCTTTTCTTCCTTCTCTAGATTCATTGTACAGCCATGTCAACAGAGAACAAGGAAAACACCAACGCCACAGGACCGTCTCTGCAGTCACAGGTATAGCACTGACTCTGATTTTCTTTTCTCGTCTTTCATTCCCATGCTGTCGGATAAAAAAAGAGATAGAGAAAGAAAAGGCAAATGAAGGCCTCAGGGATAGTTATATGGCAACCTAGCTCTATCCTCTCATATCATGTGATTCCTATACTATATCTTATAATTGCAGAAAGAAATAGTAAAAACAGCAAGCTGACAGCCGAAACACAGAACCAGAACACTTCCACCGCTACTCCCACCGACACAGGAGCCGGCGCGCAAGAACTGGCCGCCGCCGTAGACGACCTCCTCGATCAGCTGCAGCACAAGTTCGACAAGGTGTCGACGGAGATTTTCGGGAAGTGTGAGTATTCACCACCTCCTTATCTCCATAGACAGAAAAAGAAAGACAGTTCTTAGACAGCATTTGTTTCATACTGTCGTTGTAGGAATTTTGGCTAATCTGTTTCAATCAACAATAAATAGTGGATGACATGGCCCGACGCCTCGACGAGCTCGAGGCTTCTCTGACCGTGGCAGAAGAAACGGCTGCGGCTGCGACTGCGAAGAGCTAGCTGATGACTTAAAAAAAAATAGAACTCGAGTGCTACATGTGTTTTTTCTTTATGCTTTTTACAAGATTTTGTCAGTTGGGATATCCATCCATTGCATGATTACGTATCATTTGCGATTGACTGCGTCGTGTTGTATGTACTAGTGGTACCTGCTGGTTTTTTTATGATACCAAGTCTTATCTGTCCTTGTTCGTGACGTTGTGTTGACATTTTTGAAATTGTCGAATAATCCGTGTATTTATTTATTTTATTATTTCTAGTGAACTTCCATTGAATGATATACGTGGAATGAGACGACAAGCTTCGCATTCCCATCCCACAAATCCAGCCTTCCACATGGTATCATTCCCCCTCTTCCGCAGACCAGAAACTGCTTACTATACAGGTAACAAGCCAGACGTTAGATAGGACCTGCCATCTCTCTCCCAGATGAGTGACACTCATGTCATCAACGATCATGTGTCATACACATAATTGTACATGGATAGTAGGTAACACCGTAGTAAACCGTCTACAGTTCGTCCTTCTTGCCCTCCTCGGCCTTGCTGTCCTCCTCGGCCTTCTCACCCAAGAACTGGCGGAGAATGTTGCTGCGCGAGACCAGGTCGTCCGCCTTCTCCGGGGCCAGACCGCCCTTCTCCAGGATCTTCTTGAGGCGGTTAAACTCCTTCTCGACATACTCGGCGTTGTCGTTCAGTTTCTCGGTGACCTTGATGTAGTACTGGGCGTACTGGTCCTGCAGATTCTTGGCCGCCTTCTTTATCTCATCCGAGAGCTTGGAAAAGCTCTTGTTCGGCAAGTGCTTGGCCACAATCGAGTCCAGGGTCGGGATCGTGCCCGCCTTGTCGTCGAGTCCACCGCCGGGCAGTCGGTGTGTGCCAGTCTTGGAGTTCACAAACTCAACGAATTCCTTCTCAGTGCGTCCGCCTTCGTAGGGAACAGGGTCCTTGGAACCCTTGGGGAAGAACTTGATCGTCGGGTAGCCGGTGACGCCCTGCTCCTTGGCAAGAGCCTTGGAGTTCTCCGCTTCACAGTCAACCTTGGCGATCACGACGTCCGGGTCCCGGACAAAGTCATTGGCAACGTCCTCCCAAGTAGGCGCCAATCTCTTGCAGTCTGCAACCAGCAGTACCCACCGTCAGTCCCACATATTGTCTCCGACCACTGGGGGAAAAAGCTCAACTTACGTCCACACCAAGGGGCCGTGAAAGCAACCAACACGTGCTTGTCGCCGCCAACGACCTTGGGGAAGGAAGAATCGTCCAGCATCTGAACATTGCTGGGCTCCTTCTTCACACCCTTGGGCCGGATACCGGTCTTCTCCGTGACAAAGGCCGACAGGCTCTCCAGATCCCGACCGCCGCTGTATTCAATCGGCGTGTCGCTCTTGCCGTCGAAGAACTTGATCGTCGGGAATCCCTGCACACCGTACTTCTTGCCGATCGAGCGGTGCTCATCCGCATCCAGCTTGGCGATCGTCACCTTGTCCGAGGCGTGGGCGAAGGCTTGGGCGAGCTCCTCATACACGGGGGCGAGATTCTTGCAGTGGCCGCACCAGGGAGCGAAGAACTCGACCAGAGTCGGCTTTCCGGATTTGAGAACGACCTTGTCGAAATTCGAGGGGATCAAATCGACGACAGCAGAGCCGGCATTGACAATGCCGACAAGCAGAGCGAGGCAGCTCACAAGCAAGAAGCTCCAGCGAGCCATTGTTTAGAGTGTCGCACCAGCGACAAACAAACAAATCTATGCAAAAGATAAACCGAGAAGGAGGGGGGAAAGAGAAAAACTAGAAATTGAAAGTTGTGCCGGCCACTGGAAAAAAAATCTGGAATCCAAAAAAGAAGCCTCGAATTGAGGAATGTGAAAGGGGGTTGTGGTCTTTCACAAGAAGAGGACAGCAAGACGAGCTCTGGAGTTTAAGCAACGTTGCCCGTTCGCCACAGGCCGATCCCGTCTTTGGTTATCGGCGATAGGCCACTTGTTCTCCACCAGATGGCCAACCAGCATCGTGCTGCGAATAATATTGCAGCAAGCATAGCGTACTTTTCTGGTTATTTATCAATCAATTCTCCTACGGTTGCGTTTTACAAGACTTATTAATCCTACGATGAAATTGCAGATGTGGAATTCCCACATGTGCAGTCATATCCTTTTTTTTTATTGTTTACTAATACATGGCTTGCAGGTATCCCGCTTCAGTGCTGACAAACTGCACGCGCATTGCGTGAGGTGACATTGTCTATGTCTTATCAGAAATCGCAACACCTGCCCTGCCGGCATGATAGCGATAGTTTGTAGATTTGTCAAAAGCTGGTCCTGCGGACCTCCATCACCGTCTCTCAGCCAGCCACTTGTTCGCATCCTCCCATAGTTTCGCGTCCTTGAACTCTTTGCCGGCGCTCTGCGTCCCCTTGTAGATCTGATGGACAAATCAGCGATTGCTTGGAAAGACAATGACGACCATCGACTTACCGCATCCCACAACTGGAACGCTGAATCGAGGTTGGCAGTAAAGCTCTCGCTGTGCTGAAACCATTCCTTGCCCTTCGACTTCACCTCAGCCCGGGCCTCCGCCGACGTCGGGTTGTTCTGATGGAGAAGGTCGTCCAAGTAGGTGCGGACTGCAATACCAAGACCGCAATCATTGTCGTTAATGAAAGGAAGCCTGGGGGATGAATTGAGTAACGATCCACTTGCGTCAACGATGCTTCCCACTTACTTGACGCTCATCTCAGTCAAGCTGGTAATTTCCCGATCCGCTTCTCCGCTGAGAAGCAACCCAGCCAAGACCACTTCAATCAAATCCCTCAAGGTAGAGCGGACAGCAGAGACCAGGGATCGGAAGGAAAGAAGCTGTCTGCTGAGCGGTCCTGAATAGCCGATATTCTTGTGGCGAAGTTTCCCAATGCACGCGACTCGCGAAATCAATAGATTATAAGTCTTTTCCTCGTCTGAAAGAGAAATTTTAGTTTGTTTCCAGGCAGTCTGGGACCATGGGAACTCTACCTGTGCCTCTCATCGGACCGCCTGAGATGTGTGAGAACCAGTCCTTCGGGCCTAAGATGCCCAAACGAAGCAGTTCGATAGCGAGAAAGGCGGGTTCTTCCAAATTCGAAGCGGGATCGAGCACGGAGAGCGCCTGCTCAAGACATGTGCCCCAGGCAGTAAGCTGGTGCTTCTCATCCACATATCCACGAAGCTGCAGGAACCTCCAGAAGACATTGGAGAGAATGTCATCTTGCGACGACAGCGGCTGTAACTGTCAGAGATGGCCCCATTAAAAAAAAATAAACGGCTATTATTAGGGCAATGGACCACATACAGGCGCATCTTTGCCGGCGAAGGACTTGGAAACAAAATCTGAATCCTTCAGGCACTGAGTAGCAAATTTGAACGAAGCGCGAGGGGTCTGTTATACGACGAAAAAGTTAGTAAGATTCTGATTTCAAGGACGGGTGATCGAACCTGAAGCTTCTTCAACCCCTCAGGGAGTTGTTCGCTTTTGATTTTCCAGCTCTGAACAGTTTCCTTGACGGAAGGTAAGGTCTTGAGGTTGATAGATCGATCGGTGCTGTCATCGAACCAGGTGCGCACGTTGATCACTTTGGTCTGGTAGAATCGATGAAGCGAGTTGGAGAGCAGGCAGATGGCTTGGGTGCGAATAGGCGTGAGAAGATCGCTCGTAAGATGGCGGTAGATTTCAGAATCTTCGACACCTAGAGGCAGGGGCACCACCACCTCGCCTGAGGTCAAATAGTTAGGGATATTGGGACCCAGAACTCCCTTGGACAAGTAGAAGTAAAGCTCCTCGGGCAATCGTTGTCCAATCAATTCGTGCATGTCGGACGGTGCGTGTTCTTGATCCATCGGACCGACCTTGCCGTCAATGTCGATGAAAACATGGTGTTTCACGGTCATGTAAGCTCGCTTGTAGCGGTCAAGATACTGCAGCTCCTGCACTCTGCGATCCTCTTCGAACTGAGCGCACAGGGTGAGCGCACTCCGCCCCGCCCCATTGAACATGGCCAATGCATCGCGAATGTTCAGAGTCTTCCCAGGGTATGCGGGGTTCTCGAACGGCGGGAATGTGCGGAGGAAGCTTGAGCCCAGAAGCAGGCCAAAGTCCAGGAACTGCTCACTGGACAGCCTCCCGAGATCATCCTGGCAAGCTTGTTTGGTGATCCAGAAGAATTGAGACGACTCCAAGTCGATTCTCGTAATGAGCTTCTCAACGTCGAAAAGGAGAATGTCGGAGGATCCAAACACGGCGTCTATCAGCTGCTGCGGGCCCTTCTCCAAATATGCTAGTTGAGCTGCAGCACTGTAGGGAGCGACCATGAAGGCTACCCCATTCTCGAAGAGGATCCTCTGTAAGAAGCGGTAGAGCTCTTCGGGTTTGGGAGTGCCTAGACC